CATAAACTGTGCTTCTTACGTCTTACTTTGTGGAAATGACTCCCAGGAGGATGCTTTCCCGACCACTACAATCTTAACCTCTTCATGTTCTTGGCTAACCATTATCTTCCCCACATATCCTCATAAACTGTGCTTCTTACGTCTTACTTTGTGAAAATGACTCCCAGGAGGATGCTTTCCCGACCACTACAATCTTAACATCTTCATGTCTAGGGTTAACCATTATCTTCCCCACATATCCTCATAAACTGTGCTTCTTACGTCTTACTTTGTGGAAATGACTCCCAGGAGGATGCTTTCCCGACCACTACAATCTTAACATCTTCATGTCTAGGGTTAACCATTATCTTCCCCACATATCCTCATAAACTGTGCTTCTTACGTCTTACTTTGTGGAAATGACTCCCAGGAGGATGCTTTTTCCGACCACTACAATCTTAACATCTTCATGTCTAGAGTTAACCATTATCTTCCCCACATATCCTCATAAACTGTGCTTCTTACGTCTTACTTTGTGGAAATGACTCCCAGGAGGATGCTTTCCCGACCACTACAATCTTAACATCTTCAAGTCTAGGGCTAACCATTATCTTCCCCACATATCCTCATAAACTGTGCTTCTTACGCCCTATTTTGTGGAAATGACTCCCAGGAGGATGCTTTCCCGACCAGTACAATCTTAACCTCTTCAAGTCTAGGGTTAACCATTATCTTCCCCACATATCCTCATAAACTGTGCTTCTTACGTCTTACTTTTGGAAATGACTCCCAGGAGGATGCTTTCCCGACCAGTACAATCTTAACCTCTTCATGTCTAGGGCTAACCGTTATCTTCCCCACATATCCTCATAAACTGTGCTACTTTGTGGAAATGACTCCCAGGAGGATGATTTCCCCGACCGCTACAATCTTAAACCGTTATCGTTTCCAAATATGCACTTGATAGCTCTTATTTTTACCACTTATATAAAAACAACTATCTTCAGTTATTCTCTAACAAGAGTGGCTCCTAGGCCTTGTATAGAGTGTATTTTAGTAAGTGAGTGTACTTAATAAGTTAGCAGAAGTGATTGCTTCGAATGTATAAGAAATTATTCAATCAAATATTGTAAAGAAAGAAAATTTTGTTCTTCTCATAAATGTTATCAACATGAAGATCTCGCTTTTTTTCTTGTTAAGTCGAGAAAATTCACCTTTCCATTTAAAGGAAGCATTTTGCGTCTACTGTTCGGTATTATTATTTTTGTTATTTGGAATCATTATTAAGTCAAATCTTATGACATTTATTTCTGGTGTTACCCACTGGTAAACTTAACTACTGGAAGCACATATAAAGTGCAACAACTATAATCTCAAATAAGGAATTATGATGAAGACCTGTATTGTGTCCAGGATTGACTCTTACAGCTTTTACGAAAACACTGGACTTGTAAAGATTAGAAAAAAGCGAATATTTAATGAGTAAAAAGCTTTAGAGTCTGTCTATATTTCTGAGATGAGGTATTATGTACATTATTTACATTATTCGGACTATAGTCCTCATCTTTGTCGCCATATTTATCACAACGTTTCGGCCGTTGTACGCTCCGGCCTTCTTCAGGTGGTTGGAATTTCGAACTGAACCCTTTATTTCGCTCATTGGGGTAAACTGTTCTAGTTCCACGTGCCATGTTTAATGGATGTCAGTTATCAGTTATCTCCTGTTAATTTCCTCCTGAAAGTTCTCCACTGCCTTAACCGGTTATTGAACTCACACACTTTGGACCCTGTCACTTGAGGGCACATGGCACAGTGGATAAATGCGTTGGTTAGATCCAGTGACAGGACCCAGAGTGTGTGAGTTCAATACCCGGTTTAAGCAGTGGAGAACTTTCAGAGGGAAAATTAACAGGAGATAACTAATAACTGACATTATTATTATTTACATTTTTCCTGTAACGAAAGCAGCTAAAATGAAAAAAAGAATTGAGTAAAATATCGTTAATAATAATAATAATAATAATAATAATTTCAGAATTAACTGCGGTTTAATAATAATAATAATAATAATAACTACTTTTAATCCTATTTACATTATTCAGACTATTGTCCTCATCTTTGTCGCCATATTTATCACAACGTTTCGGCCTTCTTCAGGTGGTTGGAATGTCGAACTAAACCCTTTATTTCGCTCACTGCGGTAGACTGTTCTAGTTCCACGTGCCATGTTTTGATGGATGTCTGTTATCAGTTATCTCCTGTTAATTCCCCTCTCCAAGAGTTCAGTTCGACATTCCAACCACCTGAAGGAGACCGGAGCTTACAACGGCCGAAACGTTGTGATAAATATGGCGACAAAGTTGCGGACAATAATCCGAATAATGTAAATAATGAGTAAGAAGCTTATAAAGCAAATTGGAAATGTTAGAAGACAGTATCGCTTTTCTTAGAAATCTAAAAGCAATAGCTAATGGCAACTCTACAGTGAAGAGATCCTCCTGCAAACTAGGAGATAAAGAAGGCATTACATATAAGACTGTAAATAGAATATAGAAAAGACAATCCGTATTATACAATGATAACATAACCATTTCATTGTTTATGCAGCTGTTTATTTGCTTGAGCAAGCTGTTCGAAATAAAAACGCGCTCTTTCTCCTTATTGAACAGAAAATTAATAATGATTTCATTTCTAACACTGAACAGAGATTTTCTCGTTCAAGCTGAGCGCGTTAAATCCCGATTAATTAATATTACCTCATCGGGAAGTGAGTTTGTTCTGCGGTGGGCCAATTAAAACTTACATTTTTCTCAGTGTGCTCCGAGATTTGATCAAAGATTAATACCTATTTAAAACCACAGTTTAACCACAAACTCAAAATGACTTTTTCCAGGGCCTGCAGTCAACATCTGGATTTTATTACTATCAATTGCGTCACCCAATCAAAAACGCGAGAGTTTCAAATCATCTACTAGCAGTCCATAAGTAGGGCAAAGATAATAAATAAACTAATAATTAAATAAAAAGTTTCGGGATAAAGTGAAACCAAATCAGAAAGTATGGAATTCCGGTCATAGCCTTATAAAGTCTGGTCGCATTCTAGATAATCTAAGAGTCACAGTTAAAGTAAGAATAAATGTCGAGCCAGAAAATGTCGCTGGCCGAAACAAAGATCTGGTCTAATTGTCTGTCACAAGAGAAGGTAAAAGCCTCAGCAAAGATACCCCAGGTTTTATTTATCTTGGACATATTAAATATTAGGGAAATAAAAATCAAATATGGCGTACCCACAAAAATATTTATTAGTTAATACATGGTCTCGATTGTCTTGAACATGGCCGTGTGTGGTTGTAGGATCGTTGCCCAACTGAGAACTTGGCCATCTCTCTTATGTGCCAGTTGCGTGCCAATATTCTGGTTGAAAACTGAACAGTTATCCATTCATGCATAGCCAGTCTTGGGCAAAATTAACCTGGGGGAGCACATCCCTCTCCGACCTCAGCAGACTTGAATGTTCTCAGTGGTAATAGACGTGTGGCTGGTGATTCCATCGAGCTAAACTTTCACCTTACCTGTGACCTTTAATCTAAATCGCCCGACTGATTTTATGTGTAACACTAGATGACTGAAAATGAATTTACTGAAAAACTACTTTAAAAGAAATATTTTATAAATTTCAACAGACAGAACCACTAAGTCTTCTATCAAAGAATGCCAAAAGATTCTTATAGGGAAATGGTTGTTCCCACACTTACCGTTACCATAATCCTCTTTGGAAATTAATACATGTTGGATAAGACAAAAAGAAAAAAGCTAAAAGGTGCCAAAGAATTTTTGTTTTTGTAAAGAGAAAATGATGCAGGCAACCACAAGAATACACAGAGAAATGGTTGCACATCCGTTCATAATCTGTCTATATTTCTGAGATGAGGTATTATGTACACTATTTACATTATTCGGACAATTGTTCTCATCTTTGTCGTCATATTTATCACAACGTTTCGTGGAACTAGAACAGTCTACCCCAGTGAGCGAAAGAAAGGTTTCAGTTCGACATTCTAACTACCTGAAGAAGGCCGGAGCGTACAACGGCGGAAACGTTGTAATAAATATGGCGACAAAGATGAGGACAACAGTCCGAATAATGTAATTAGTATGCGTTCATAAGTAAAAAAAAAAGCTGTCATAGAATTTTTACTTTTGAAAAGAGAAAGTGCTGGAAATATTCACACGAATTTATGCACCAATGATGATGGATTATCTTCTTCAGCGATTTATCTGCCATTAAAGCGATTGTCATTTATCTCGTTTCTATCAAAGTGAATGGAATTTGCAGAGAAATTATGAGGTTGATATATATTCATAACTGCTTGTTGCAGAACATTTCAGTTCGACTTGACTTCTGTATGACAATAAATAATGTTTATTTTGTGCAAATCTCAAAGGCTATTTGTTCAATAAGCAGTTATTTGTTCGGAGCAATTTCTCAGCTTATTATTCTAGCCCAGAATTATTTTTCACGCTTGGAGCGTGAGTAACAAAATTAGAATCTTACAAGCTCCGATGTGTTCTTCCGTTAAGTATGGATTTCTCTGCTCTTTGTGCCATTTTTGTAGCCTTATTTTACGCCTTTTTTACGCTCCAGCCGAATAAGTTATTTTCAACTAGCATCTTTTTGTTGCTCTATGTGCCATGTCCAATCTGAACGTTGGTGATCATGGCTCTCTACAATTTTCTGTTCTTTGTACTGCTTAATAACTTTTTACCGCCCCCCCCGCAAAAAAAGAACCCTGTTCGACCATCCATAAACACAAGCTCGCCAAGTAGGTTAGGCATTGTTTTCCCCTTTCCAACCTTGAATCTCTTCTGTGAGTAACACAATTTCCAAGCCCTTTTCCAACATTATTTACTTCGAGAGAGGGGGGTCGGTAACACATGGGAAGAAATCTCCTAAAATCCCAAATATGTATGGCGGTTCCTTTACGGTGAAGCCAGTTTTCGGGCAAATGACATTCACAGTTATGATTGCAACCGCCCAACCCGCCCAAAATAACAAGAATCAGTTACCAATTTCTTCTTCTTCTTCTTCTTCTTCTAGCGCCCCTCCTCCTCCTTCTTCTTCCTCGTCCTCCTCATTCTTCTTCTTCTTCTTCCTCGACCTTCTCCTTCTCCTCACGCTCCTCCTCTTACTTTTCTTCGTTATTCCTCCTCCTCCTTTTTCCTCCTCCTCCTCCCAATCCTCCTCCTTTTCTACTCATCCTCGTTATTTGTCCTCCTCCTCCTTCTTCTTCTTCTGCTCTCCCGCCCCTCCTTCTCCTTCTTCTACTCTTACTCCTCCTCCTTCTTATTCTTTCTCCTCCTCCTTCTTCTTCCTCGCCCTCTTCATTCTCCTTCTTCTTCTTCCTCTTCCACCTTCTTCTCCACACGCTCCTCCTCATACTTCTCTCCTCTCCGTTAATAGGAAAACGTGACACACACAGAAAATAAGAAGTAGTTTATTCCGTAGAATAATATGGTACACGGTGGAGAACACAGGCTAATGTAATAAACAGTGACTCATTCCCTCATCCGTATTTACCTGAGACCTCCCCCACAAGGCGGACTGTGGGGTTTTTCGAGTGGGTACGCTCGGGAAAAAAATTCTCCGTAGACACCGCATACACGGGGTCGAGCGACTGTATATCTCCCCAGACAAAACTTTCCTCGTCTGAGTTTCTCTCCGCAACAAGGCAGAGAGTTGACAAGCATAGTAACGATTATTCGTTAACTCCTCGGTAATTTCCCGAGACCTCACCAAAAAGTGGGATGTGGCACAAGGCCGTTTTTTAACCTAGGGCTTTCCGAGAGAGTACGCTCAGACAAAAATTACTCGTAGATCTCACATACACGACGTCGGCAGCTGTCTACCTCCCCAGACGAGACTCTACCCGTAGGTGTAGCCCTCTCTGGGTTCCTCTCTGCCAGAAGGCAAAGAGTAAACAAGCAGAGTAATGATTAATTATTAACTTATTGGTATTTCCTCGAGATCTCCCCACAAGGTAGGATGTGGCACAAAGTCTGTTTTTACGTGGGGCCTTCCGAGCCGGTAGGCACGGGCAAAAATTGCCTGTAGTCAGCTGCATATCTTATATTGTCAAGGTTGTGGCCGCTAGCAATTAATCCTGATAGGACTTCTAGTTCTCTCATTATCGCCTCACTGTAAAGGTTGAATAAGTCCGGTAAGAAGACACATCCTTGTCTTACACTCCTTTGTAATTTTGTGTATTTACTGAATTCATTTTTTATCCGTATGCAGATGAGAGTTATGATCCCCTGCGTCCTAAATGAAGATGGCATTAGAAAAGAAGCTGTGGAGAGTCATGATCGCCTATGTCCTGGCTGGATATGACATGAAAAGAAAAGGAAACTGTAGAAAGTCATGATCGTCTACGTCTTAAAGAGATATATCATTAAAAACGGAAGCTGGGGAGAGCAATGATCGCTTACATTCTGAAGGGATATAGCATTAAAAAAAGCTGTCGTGAGTAATAATCGCCTTCGATCTAAAAAAGAAGGGTAGCTGTGGAGAGTCCTCATCGCCTATACCATGAAGGGATATGATATTAAAACGGAAGCTGTGGAGAGCAATGATCGCATACGCTCTGAAGGGATATAGAATTAAAAAAAAAACGCTGTCGAGAGTAATGATCGCCTTCATTCTGAAAAAAAAAAGCAGGGGAGCTGTGATGTATCATGATCGTCTACGCCCTGAAGGGATATGACATCAAAAACGGAAGCTGTGAAGAGCAATGATCGCATACGTTCTGAAGGGATATAGCATTAAAAAAAGAAAAACACTGTCGAGAGTAATGGTCGCCTTCATTCTGAAGGTATATAACATTTAAATAATAAGTTGTTCACATCGGCAATATGTTGTTAGAATTGTGACCGTCAATAATGAATTCTAGCAGGACTTCTAATTTTCGAAGAATAACCTCAATGTAGAGTTTGGTTAACTCTGGCGAAAAGACACATCCTTGTCTTACACCCCTTTCTATTTTTATATATTTACTGAATTCATTTTCTGTTCACATGCAGGTGGCTTACTGCCAGTATAGGTTCTGGAGTGTTCCAATATATTTCCGAAATATATCAAGATTACCTATCAGTTCCAATACTTATTTTTGATGTGCTTGAACAAAAGATTTTACATCAAGGATAGGCGAAGAAATTTTATGTATATATGTCTTTTTTTTATCACTTCACCTCAAGTAAGGCAATAAAGCCACTAAGACACAAAGGCCATTATTAAAGAGAGAGAACAATAAAAGAACAGAAATTAAGAAGACAGACGATAATAATTGACATTGCATTTAAATTTTTGAAGATCAAAGTTCCACAAGTGAAAAGTGCGATAGATAAAAGTGTTTCCCTAAAACTCACGCTTCCACCTAAGCACCTGCTACTTCCTTTTAAATTTCCAAGGTCCAGGTAGCATAGAATAACAAGAATCAGTTACCACTTTCTTCTTCTTCTTCTTCTTCTTCTTCTACTTCTTCTTCTTCTTCTTCTTCTTCTTCTTCTTCTTCTTCTTCTACCGCCCCTCCTCCTTCTTCTTCCTCGTCCTCCTCATTCTTCTTCCTCGTCCTCCTCATTCTTTTTCTTCTTCCTCGTCCTCCTCATTCTTCTTCTTCTTCCTACACCTCCTCCTTCTCCTCACGCTCCTCCTCCTACTTTCACTCCTTATTCCTCCTCCTCCTTATTCTTCCTCCTACTTATTCCTCCTCCTTCCACTCCTCCTCCTTTTCCTACTACTCCTCGTTATTCATCCTCCTCCTCCTCTTCCTCTTCCTTATTCTTCTTTTCTCCCGCCCCTCCTCCTCTTTCTTCTACTCTTAATCCTCCTCCTCCTCCTTCTTTCTCCCCCTTCTTCTTCTTCCTCGTCCTCCTCCTTCACCACACGCTTCTCTTCTTTTTCTTCTTCCTCCTCCTCCACCTCCTCCTTCTCCTCACGCTCCTCCTTTCCCTCCTTATTCATCCTCCTCCTTATTCCTCCTCCTCCCACTACTACTCCTTTTCCTACTTCTCCTCGTTATTCCTTCTCCTCCTCCTCCTCCTTCTTCTTCTTCTTTTCTCCCGCCCTTCCTCCTCTTTCTTCGACTCTTACTCCTCCTTCTTCTTTCTCCTCCTCCTTCTTCTTTCTCCTCCTCCTTCTTCTTCCTCGTCCTTCTCCTTCTCCACATGCTATTAAACACGATATAAGAACAATTGCCATGAGCGTATTCATAGAACAACCAGAAAGAAGCTATCAGGTTATGGCGGTGAGAAAGCCACTGAAGCCAAGATAACCGGTCAGGACTCTCTAAATATATAGCCGGAGTACCAGACTAAATGTGGCAGCAATATTCAAAGCAAGGACGAATTGTAGACTCATAAATATTAAGATAGATTCTGGCGATTATATATGCAGTGATCAGAAAGAATGAGATTTTGATGGATTCCTTTAATGCATCTTCCGTGTTATCATGTGTAATCATTAGAAGAAATGAACATTTTGATGAATTTGTTTAATTGAATTCTTCCTGTTATATATGTAATCATTCGAGGGAATGAAAGTTTTAATCATTTTCTGCTAAAGTCTTTCTGTTTTACACGTAGCCATTACATTTAGGCTGAGTTTTATCGTATTTGTTTCAATAATCCTCGTCGTTATATATATATATATATATATATATATATATATATATATATATATATATATATATAATTATTAGATTGAATGAAAATCTAAACGTATTTATTTAATGAAACATGCATTTTTGGTATTCATATCTAATCGTTAGAATTAATGGGCGCCATGTTGTGTTTGTTCCCTATATGCTAACACAGATAAGAGAAAATTAGCCGAGAAAATGCCGCTTCATTTTTTTCTTCTTCTTCTTCTTCTTCTTCTTCTTATTATTATTATTATTATTATTATTATTATTTTACATATTATTATTGTTATTGTATTCAATAACAATAATAATATGTAAAATAATAATAAGAAGAACGAAGATACGGTGGAGTAATGGATAGCGACTCGGATTGAGGAATCGGAGAGCCGAGTTCGAATTACATTCAATTACGTGCTTGGGAAATGTATGAATCCTATTCTTATCCCAGCTATGGGTAAATCGCAGGACAGACCAAGTTCTATAGCCTTGGATGGCACGAAAGAAATGGCAACCTACCCCGGGAAAAATCTGCCTCGTCAGTCATGTATCAAAAAGATACATGATCGCCTAACCGTGTATCACGCATGTCGCATAACTAAAAGACTATTGTTTTCATATTATTATTGTGATTGCTCTTATTATTATTATTATTATTATTATTCTTTCGTCTGATTTCTGTTTACACATTTCCTTCAAGATTCCAACCAGAAATATAAGGTCAGAAATGGATTCTTGACATTTTCTACTTATCATTTAAAAAAAGAAACCAAAACAAAAAACCCCAAAAAAACAAAAAAAAAAAAAAAAAAAAAAAAAAAAAAAAAAAAATAAAATGTAGTATCACAGACATTTTAGAAGAAAATGCTGCCAGTATAGATTCTAGATCATCTCTCACTGGAGTAGATTGTTCTTTATATATAATTGTTGTAGCATACCTACGGACGATAATGGGCATCTCCCCAGTCACATAAAGACAGTAGTAAATACTGTATGTTGGTCTTCAGTCGGAGATTCGTCTCTTGCTAAGCCAGTCGAACTCTCTGCCTTCGGGCAGAGAGGAACCCAAACGAGGCTATGCCGAAGGGCAGAGTCTTGTCTGGGGTGGTAGACAGCTACCCGACCCCGTTTTATACGGGGTCTACGGGGAATTTTTGCCCGAGCCTACGGGCTCGGATACCCCACGTTAAATTCGGCCTTCTGCCACATCTGACGGCGTGGGGCGGTTGGCAAATATCCTTCAATTGGAGATTCATTGTGGAATTCACTTGTCTCACTTTTAGCAGTTGACTACTTCTACGCGCCTCTAGCGAATCTTATATGTGTTGTTCTTGTCCTAAGTATTATCGTTCATTACCTACCTTCATTTCATTATCCTTTTCAGTAACCTTCCCTAGGTTACATCAATAATGTTCTTCGTAATGTGTTATTGCTATTACTATTATTATTATTATTATTATTTTACATTGTTAGTGATATGAGGCATTTGGCTGAGAAAATTGTTCAAGTGAACAAAGATTCGGACATTGATATTATCTAGAATCTCCAAGAAATGCTACATGACAAGAATAGTTATGTGAGAAGCTTCAAATATTCCATAGAGCAAGATCCATCTCCTGAGTTTACAGTCAAGACAGATTAAAAAAGTGTCCCTTGGATAACATTCTTAGCAATATAGTGTGTATGAAATGTAATGAAGTTGTTATAATAATGTCATCATGACATTATAATTCATCAGAGAGACAATCACATGAGAAGGATCAGTGAACTCCATCGCTTATATGATGCCTTGCCATATCAATTGTTATTTCTGAATGGAGACAAGATAGCATCTATGCACCCCCAAGGTTGGAGCAAAAGCTAAAAACAAGAATCTCTGTGTAATAATATTTTACCTGCCTACCATTTCTGAGATGAGGTATTATGTTCATTATTTACATTATTCGACTATTGTCATCATCTTTGCCGCTATATTTATTACAGCGTTTCGGCCGTTGTACGCTCCGGCCTTCTTCAGGTGGTTGGAATGTCGAACTGAACCCTTTATTTCGCTCACTGGGGTAGGCTGTTCTAGTTCCACGTGCCATGTTTGATGGGTGTCAGTTATCAGTTATCTCCTCAAGGACACATGGCACAGTGGATAAAGGTGTTGGTTAGATCCAGTGACAGGAGCCAAAGAAGTGTGAGTTAAATACCCGGTTAAAGCAGTGGAGAGCTTTCAGAGGGAAAATTAACAGGAGATAACCGATAACTGACATCCATATTATTATTATTTACATTTTTCCTGTAACGAAAGCAGCTAAAATGAAAAAAAGATATGAGTAAAATATTGTTAATAATAATAATAATAATGTAAATAATGTAAATAATTTATCTGCCTACCATTTCATGATTCATCCGAATAGGTTCAATCATGACACAGATGTCAACAATAGTTCCGCCAGTATGCAGTTGACATGTATGCCAAAATTGTATCAGACAGATGAAGATACCTTAGGGGGAATCACAAACAACACGGATCTGAAGAGTATGCTCACTTGAAAGATACAATCAATAAAGATGCTGCTGGAACAAAATTAGCCCATCATGGTATCTTGCCATCCAGTTTTATGGGAAGCCCACGATACATACATGAAAAAACACAAGACGCAATGACTTATGTTAAACAATACGACCACCCAGATTTTATTCATAACTTTTACCTGCAATGCAAAATGGAAATAAATTCAAAATGAACTGCTTGAATAACAGTTACATCTTCATAGAAATGATTTTATAACCAGGCTGAAACTAATGGACCTACTCACAAAAGATATGGTTCATACCATATGTACACGATAGAGTGGCAAAAACGTGGGTTACCTCATGCTCGCATTTTAATTTGGTTGATCGAGAAAGTTCATTCCAATTAAATTGATAACATTGTTTCTACTGAACTACCAGACTCAACTGAAGACAGATATTGTAAGAAATGGTGAAAGCACATATGAAAACTTTTTGTAACAATTACAAAACTCAGTAAAGAACGCAGAATTATACCTTGCTTTTACATTATTACTAGTGGGTAGCCGATGCTTCAATCAAACTTACACTTGACCTTTATACGAATGAAAACCAACATTAGCAAAAAAACTAGGATGGCACTTGATTGCGTTTGATGAATACACTATAATGCACAAGAGAGCTCTGGAGATTATTTATATCGAATGTTAAGAGTCAGTCTCTAATGGTGGGGGTGTCACCGTAGTCAGTCGCTCACTTTCTGAGCGACTGTTCGGTTAAACTCTCTTCCTACGGGCGGGAGGAACCCGAAGGAGGCTACGCCGAAGGAGGCTACGCCGAAGGGCGGAGTCTCCTTCGGGGAGGTAAAACCGGCCCAGAACCCGTTTATACGGGTTCAAATGGGCTATTTTTTGGCCGAGCCTAATGGCTCGAGAATGCCCACGTTAAAAAGGCCTTGTGCCACATGACACCCTCGTGGGGGGGGGACTGAATATTGTCACCGTAGTTCTATCAGGATATTTCTGGCTATTTCCTTCCACTTATAACAAAAGGAGAATCCATTGTGTTACCTTGTGTCAAACTTAACCTAAACTTAGTAAATAACTAAGCAAGGGTAATGCAAACGATCTAACAAATGGTGAAAAACAGAAAATAGTAAATTTATTAATAGAAGGATTGGTTGATTGATTTTTTTACGGACTATCAACCTTTTACAGGTTACTTAAAGCCAGAAAATACTTTTAGTTTGTTAGAATTTTTTTGAGGCAATTATTATTTACTGGTTTAATTTCTACTAATTAACCCATAGCTGGGGAAGAAGTGGTGGATTTATGCCTTTCCCAAGGGTCTTTACACGTAAGTGAATATAACGAACCCTACTGAAATTGGAACTCGGATTTCCAATTCACAGCCCATATCCATTACATGACCCGCACATCCATGCTTACAGCAACAGATATTCCCAAGCGGTCACCCATCTAGGTAGTGACGAGGATCGACGTTGCTTAACATTCGGTGATTGTACAAGAACAGGGCTGAAGATTGAAAGGAATGTCCACTTTGGAGATATCAAACGAAAATCGCGCCGATCATTGAATGGTAAAGCTTTTGAAAATATAAATAAATTGAGAACTAGAAGCAAATGAAGATTGGCTTGAAGACCTTGTCTCCTCGAGTGGAATGTAAATTAATATTAGAGCAAAACAAACACATCTGACCGGTGCTGAGATCTTTGGACTAGATGAAAGTGAAATTCCTTGTGGCAACGTCTCGTCAGCAAAGAAAATATTTTAAATCTTTAAAATTGGGCAAAGCAATTGACGAAAATTGATCTTTCGAAAGTAATTTTCCCTGACGAATTTAAGGTCATACTCGATTAACCTGAAGTAGGGGTGGGGTTACGAATAGGTTTTATACGCAGAAGAGTTGCCAGGGACTAGCTGGCGGCAACAAGAATGTGCCGACGTAATGATATAAACTGGAATTTTCGACCAATCCATTAACAGGTCATTCAAATTAGATGAAGGTACCCCAT